TAAGAGAGCGGAGCCTCTAAAGTGCCGATACAGAAAGACATTTGTAAAACGGCATGCAAACTATGATCTCATTAAAAACATTTAGAGTTAATGACAAACTTCCCTAATATTACCTAGGAACCTTGTCTATTCCTTTGTCATCTCATTTTCATCCATCTCTCCTGCTAAACTACCTGGGGGCAGACTCCCCATTGCATAGCAGCACAGGGCCAGCTATGCGGCACTTAATATTTGTTAAATTGCTGAATAGCATAGAATCTTCTTATAAAAAAGAAACTTACTTATTTAGCAGGTAATAGTACTAGGAGATAATATATGAATGTGGTTAACATAGTCAAACTTTCAAAAAGTTATTTAGAGGAAAGTACTATTTCTTCCATCCCATTCCCCAGACACCCAGCTTCTATCTCAAGAGGCATCCATGGTGACTAGTTTATTATACATATGCTAGAGGCCCAGTGCATGACATTCGTGCACTGGGGGCGGGGGGGGGGGGGGGGGTGTCCCTCAGCCCAGCCTGTGCCCTCTTGCAGTCCAGGACCCCTCAGGGGATGTCCACCTGCCAGCTTAGGCCCACTTCCTGCGGGCAGGCAGACACCCCCCAAGAGATGTCTTGTGCTGCTGTGGAGGCGGGAGAGGCTCCCACCACTGCCGCTGCACTTGCCAGCCGTGAGCCCAGCTTCTGGCTGAGCGGTGCTCTCCCTGTGGGAGTGCAATGACCACCAGGGGACAGCTCCTGCATTGAGCATCTGCCCCCTGGTGGTCAGTGCATGTCATAGCGACCGGTCATTCTGCTGTTCAGTTGATTTGCACATTAGCCTTTTATTATATAGGATTCTTCAGCGATATTAGGAAATTGCATTGAATTTTAGTGCAATTTAAATTTCTTGCCAAAGATGCTTTATGCACATGTAAGCAGTATGTTCTTTTCTAAAAAGACACCAATTTCTCTCAAACCCACAAAAGGACAACCCAAACAAACTCTGTGTGTGTGTGTGTGTGTGTATGCATGCGCGTGCGTACGCATGTGCTCGCCAAGAGCAAAAGGAAGGTGCTAGTTGTAAAACCACCCTCCAATTCTATGCAATTCTATTTACAGATTCCCTCCCCTCCGAGCTGAGCTTATGATCCATTTCTTTGGCCCGAGATTTCATTTTTATTGTGCCGTTCGTTCCCTGGACGTGGAAAGAGTAGGCATTCTGTGACATGAACACGACACAGGACTTTCCATGTCTTTCAGCGAGATGTCTGAGGTTACTCTAACTTACTACAATTTGAAGCAAGAAAAGTGCTTCCTGGAGGGAGAAAGACAGAAACCACTGTTCCCAGCGTGGTTTTTGTCAGACAGAGGTCTGCAATGGCCCTGGAAGGCACCTATCTAACACTTTAGCAATGAACTCTGAAAGGGACTTAGCACTTGGCGCTGCCTTCTCTCGGGTTGCTAGCCTGCTCCTATTACATGGGCTGTGTCACATGGCATGGCACACTCAGACTTGGACATCACTTAGAAAGGACGTCAGAAATGTCATTGCTTAGAAATGACGTCACACCAGTGGGCCTATGCCTGTGCTTGCAGAGGAACTAGTAGGAAATATTTTCAACTCTCTGCTTTATTCTGAATAAAAAAGCCCCATGTCTCTACTCCTCCATAATATTTCCTAGTTTCCATTTCTACATACTAAAGGTACATTCATTTTCTTTCTAAAAGACAAAACAAAACAGACTGAACAAAAAATATTACCTCAATATATAGGTTTTTTTGTCTTTTTTATGTTTAAGTGATTAAAACACAAGAATTTGAAAACTAAGTAACAGCTATAGTTCTTCTCATCTCATCTTTGGGGAAAGCAACTATTTTCTTCTTCCTCACTAGTCTCTTTCCAGTTTGTTTCTATACGACAGCAAATAAATTAGAGAGTTGGTGTTTACTCATTTTTTATTTTAAAATTTATTTTTGTTGTTTCAATATAACTTTAAGAGTTGATGTTTAGCCGAAACCGGTTTGGCTCAGTGGATAGAGCGTCGGCCTGCGGACTGAAAGGTCCCTGGTTCGATTCCGGTCAGGGGCATGTGCCTGGGTTGCGGGCACATCCCCAGTGGGAGATGTGCAGGAGGCAGCTGATCGATGTTTCTCTCTCATCGATGTTTCTGGCTCTCTGTCTCTCTCCCTTCCTCTCTGTAAAAAATCAATAAAATATATATATAAAAAAAAAAAGAGTTGATGTTTAGACGTGTTCTTTCCCTATTATTTCTTTTAGGGCTGATGTAGACGTGGTGCCCAGTGACAAGCTAAACGGAGCCTTTGTTTGCACGGGGCCCTCCACGGGAGATGCACCCAGAGATAACGGAAGGGCTCTTCCTTCTGTCCTAACTCTGTTTGCTACCAAGTTGTCTGTTTGTGATTCCAAGTCTTTGGTGTCGACTCAGTGGTCGCTCTGACTGTCAATGAGCTCTTTTTATGTGGTTCTTTGTTAGTGCCTTCTTCTTGTTACGTCTACCTCCTCAGTTTCCATTCGAAAAGCCAACCACCAGGGCATCCTGCCAAGCTATCTCCGCCGGCTCAGCCAACTTACTGCAGTTCTCACCAATCTGAGGAGAGTCCTCCTTGGGCTAGGAAAGGATCCCAGGGCTCACAGAGAAAATGGATTCTCTAATTCTGGCATTATCTTCTTCCTATTAGATACGTTACTTGTTTGTAGTCGTGAACTTACTTCTCCATCAGTCTGCTTTCTATGCTCAAGTTTTATTACTTTCCGTTCCCCTATTCTTTAACTGAAACATTTCTGTCCTAGAAACTGAACTCTTATGGTGTTTAGCATACCATTTGGAATAAGCGTTTCTGCATCTTTTCCAAATATAATCCCGTATCACTGAGCTCTATTATTATACGTATAGGATTGCAAAATAAATGGGTGTTTGTTAAGTGAATGAGAGGGATGTGGTTTAATGATTTGTAGGAGATTTAGAAGTTTTCTGCCGAATCTAACTGACAGTGCTATATGAACGCATTGGCACTGCTTGCTTGGCCTCCACCAGGTCAGCAACATTTCCCCGCCCGGCATCCCTAACAAGATGTCAGAAAGTCCGCAGAGGAGAAAGGTGGGCTGGCAGAGTGGCGAGGAGAACGGCCTCTGGTCGGAGACAGCCTGAGTCTGACTTCCAGCTCTAGCATTTACTAGCTGCATGTTTTGGGTCAAGTGACTTCATGTCTCCTTGTTCAGTCTCCTCATCTATAAAATAAGGATCACAGTCCTCATCCCTACCCACTCACTTCAGAGGCTTGTTTAAGGAATAAGTAAGCTAATATATACAAACGCCTAGAAAGTAGGTGGAACGGTACTATATATAGCTGGTCACTATTAGTCTGCAGCTATTGCTTGTCTTGACAACGACCGTAATTCAAAGCAAAAAACGAGGTGAGCATACAGCATTTTACATCAACTTCCAAGGCAGTGACACAGTGCTGGAATACTTCTTCCAGGAATACATTCGAAGCTGGGAGCCTACTAAAGAAAGCCATTACTTCCCTGCCTCAATCTGGACACTGTCTTTGAACATCTCTACAATGAACTAAAGTCATTAATCACCAACTATTACTCACAGGAGCCAAAGATGCTGAAATGGAATATGTCTAAGGTCTTATGACAAACTACTCTTCCGCTGTATTCCTACTTATCTGCAATTTAAGAATCCAATGTTGGGAGGGGAGGGGGAAGTTATAATTATATTTACATGCTACAAAATTTTCTTAGTTTCTATTGTCATTATCTCTTTATATTTGATGGGAGATCTTGGCAAACACCAAGGTAGAGATTGAAATTGTAAAAAATGCCCTTTTTATGTTGACACATTATTAGAAATTTAAGTTAAAGCATTAAAAAAATTTTTTTTACAGCATGGCACTGACTTACGTGTTTATTAGCCAAAGGATTTCCATTTGGGGTCAGTCAAAAGTTCCAAGTAGGCAAGTAGTTTTCTCAGCTATATTTTAAAGTAGGATCAATGCTACCCATAGTAAGAAACTACTATTTCAGATGCCAATACATCAAACAAGACAATCATGTTTTATTACTACAGATTGCTATCAACCATCCTAAATTTGTAAGAGGCTGAAATGTTTCAAAAAGGTATAGCTGCCCTAACTGGTTTGGCTCAGTGGATAGAGAGTCAGCTTGCAGACTCAAAGGTCCCAGGTTCGATTCCAGTGAAGGGCATGTACCTTGGTTGCGGGCACATCCCCAGTAGGGGGTGTGCTGGGGGCAGCTGATTGATGTTTCTCTCTCATTGATGTTTCTGACTCTCTATCCCTCTCCCTTACTCTCTGTAAAAAATCAATAAAATATATTTTTTTAAAAAAAAAGAAAAAAGGTATAGCTATTTGTGGCCCACGCTTCAGGGCAATGAATGAAAGAGATCTGTGTTAACACTTCCCCCCATTTACCCTTCCTGGTCACTTTATGAGAGAGTGCAAACACATTTAAAGATTCGGCCTTTACATCTAAAAGTTGGCTACTCAGATCAGCACCAGTTAGAATATAATTACTCTTAAGAGACGTGTATCTCATTTTGGGTGTACTAATTGTATAAATTAGTTTTAAGTGAAAGTGACATTGTATAATGATTACATTTTGGCCAAAGCTAACATGCTTGCTTTTTTTTGTTGTTGTTGTTAATCAGCTGCTCAGGCCTGATGATTAAATGATTACTCTTTTGTCCTTCTATGAGTTGGGAAAACACTTGATTTACTTCCCTTTCCACACAATCAATCAATTGATTTGCAGAATGCCTAATGCTGCTTCTTTCGATTCCCATGCGTTTATTGCTCCAAACATGCCAAGGGACTGTCATTTACTGGGGGGAAAAAACCTTCAAAGCCAGAAGAGAGCCTGGGCGATCATTCTGAATACCTACAATCAGACCATCTGATAATATTCCCAGGCAGCCAGGGTGGCCCCTGAGAAACAAGAGCGAGTCTTCTCGGTTGTTATCAAATGACTTACCCACAATGACTGCGGTGACGGTGAGCAGCACAAAAGCATTCCGAAACAGGTAATTTTTAACATCCTCCTTGGTGATGTTCTGCACTTTCTTCTTGGCCAAGAGCGTGCGCTTCCGGACGCCTTGCTGGAACCTCTGCATCCTGCCGCCCGCCCTGGGCTCTTCTCCGTTGCTTTTGGTCATCCTTTACTTCTCTAGCAGGGTCTCTTCTCGGCCCCTCAACGTCTCGGAATCACCCCCAGAGAGCCAGGCCCCTTCGGTGTTTGAGAACACACCTAGAGCGAGAGAAAGAGACAGGAGTTACATCTCCAGCGGGGAGAAGTCAGTGAGCTCCACACCGGGAGGAACTGGGGGCCAACTGCACGATCTCAGTAGGAATCACCATGGAGGTACAATGAACGCCTCGATTGGGCACATCTGCCCGGCCACGGTGGGAAATGTGCATACATTCAGAATACGTGAACAGGAACCTGTGTTCTACTTTTAGAAATCTGTCTTCCCCCCTCCATGGAGGCTACAAAAGGGTTGATCAGAGCTGGGATGACTGAACACTCTTACCCCCACCCTATTTCCCAGAACCTAGCTGAGAGCTTTGCACAATGTCCGCCCTCAATAAATGTCCAATTGAATTGAATGCACAGGAAACACTCAATAATTACTTGCTGGCTTATGTTGTAAGCGTGGTGAAGGCATAACCAGGTCAATCAAGTGAACTGAGGTATTGATATTTCACAGTTGGAGCTTCCTCTTATAAACAATGAAGCGAGTATTTTCTTCATTAAAAAAAAAAACATCAGAATATCAACTAGGACATATGGCCATGAAAAGAACACAAGTAGCCACAGGACTTGGCAACTACGTTTGCCTATTTCACAAGGCAACTTCTGAATTTTTTTCCCCCTGTAAAATAAGAAAAGTCCTCCGGGCACCTCTATACACCACCTGAAGTCATAATTAACTTCCACTTTTCTTACAAAGAGGAGTGCAAAGCAGCATTTGTCTTTGTGGCAAACACACCGAGGTCTTCTGAGGAAGCTCTCCCAACTTCTAAGTATTTTAAATGTTAGGATTTCTAGAACAGAGGAGATGAATCCAATTTTCATTCCAAACGTTACAGCGTGTGGTTTCTAGTTTCTCTAAAGGGTTCCCAGGTTATTAAAATCGAAGCAAATCTTTGCAGAGGTGGAAATCGTTTTTGAAAAATCAAGGGGTACCTCCTGCGGCTTTACAAGATTTCTAATCCCTAATCTTTACCACGGATCAAGCCAAGAAAAAACAAAACAAAACAAAAAAACCAATCAACCAACCGTGCCCGTGGACGTGTGTGTCTGGCAGCACCAGCAGCCTGCGTGTGCGCCCGCGGGGGAGGTCGCTGGCAAACCCTCGGGCGCTTCTGGCAAATCCCAGTGTGGGGGAAAAAAAAAAAGACTTGCTTCCCAGTGTTGACTTTTAAATACAATTACAGGGTGGCGTCAGCGATAGTAAGACCTACACGTTGTCTAAACACCTCCCAGCAGACGAACCGTGTAGGGAGGAGTGATGAAGAGGAGACGCCAAGACCAGATTTTTTTCCTCCTGATCTGATTGCCTCCACCAGCCAGTCACTGCTCAGCAGAGCCGCCCAGCCTGATCCTTTCCCAGATCCCCAGCCACAACCTGCCCCTCGTCCCCGCGAGGGACTAAACTCCAAATCCACGCCAGCCCCGGCACAGAGACACACCCCGCGCGCGTGACATTCAGTGACCAGCGTGGACTGGATCGACCCAAAGGGCTAGCGTTTCCCTCGCCACCCCTCCGCCGGGGAACGGAGGCACCCCGCCCGCAGGAGGAATCCCGCGCCCGACTTACCTTTCCCGACTGTGCGGGGTGGGATGGAGCCCGGCGATGCCCCGGGAGCCCCGCAGGTCGGAGCGGAGGGTCGCGCGGGGAGCCGGCGGGCATGTGCTCTGGGACCCAGAGCGCCGCGCCTGCAACTTAATGAAAGGGGCGGAGCCTGCGCGGGGCGGGGCGGGGCGGGGGACACCCGGCCCGGGCGGGAAGCCCGGGGATCTGGAATATCCATGGCTCACGGCGCTCCCGGCCGCAGGCGGGGCCGCTTTTTTTTTGTTCCCCAGGCCCCTTTTTGGGGCGGGTCGGTCCCCTTTTCATTGGAAATTCCAAACGGGGCAGAAGGGCGGGAAGGAGGCACCCCGCCCGCCCCCCGCGGGCTGGAGGTCTGGTCCGAGCGTTTCCAGGGAGCCCTTCCCGAGGCTGCATTGAATGATCGGGCTTTATTCTCGCAGGCTCCCTGCCCGTGGAGAAACGCGAGAGCGTGCTCTTTGGCCTGCTTCTACCGTGTTAGGAAAGAGTCCCTCTCTTTAGAATTGGGGACATAACTGGTATTTCTTGGGAAGGTCCTGGACGCAGTCTAGTGGGGGTGGGGTGGGAGGGATGCTTGCTACAGTTCTCCAAACTTGCCTAAAGTTTCTCAAAACACAAGCTGAGACATGCCTCTATTTAAGCAGGTTACACTCTATTATAACAAACCTAATTTAGCTCAAAGTGCCTGCCTCGCAGAGATTAAAATGGTGACACAAGGAGTCCAGGATATTTGCTAAACTATAGAGTAAAAAGTACACACTTGAAGTTTTGTGACTTCAAAAGATAAGTTGCTGTGCAGATAGGTGCCTCAACTTTAAAGGATGCTAAATGTCCCCCTCCGGCTCTCCCCTCCCCCATCATTTTTAGGAAAGAGAAATTTCTCATTGCCTTGAGAATATATCTGGCACTTTTAGTGCACTTTTCTTAAGAAGGAAAATAGATTGTGGACATAGATTTTAAGACTGACTCATCTCCAAAGCTTAGACGTTGTTTAACATGAAAAGTTTAATAGGAGCAAAAACCCACACCAAAACTTACAGCCAGAGGTCTGTATTCCTGCTCATTAAATTTCATATTCACCATGCAAACTCTGCTTAAATTTTGTGTTTGTTACCCAAGAAGAAAGGAGGTCTTTTTCCTTCGTTAGTAAATTCAGGGGAAGATTCTGAAGATCTGTCCCCTGCCTGCTCCCACGTCCCTTCTGCACAGCTGCTGGCTGCAGAGCAATGGTGAATCGCGTACATGCTTTCAAAGGACAAATTAGCAGCGAGTATTACAACTCTTAAATTTGGCATCGTTTGAAGAGTTTATTGAAAATACATACTCTTGAGAGTCTCGGCCCTCAGCAATCTTTCTCTTCCACTAACAGCCCAGTCACTTAGCATCTGTACCACATTGTTTAACACTTAATTATACCGTCTTCTTCTGCTCCTTTCTTTTAAAAATCCTGTTACATTTCGGCTCCTCAACTAAAGTGTAAGTTCTTGGAGGACAAGAACCAGTCTTATGCTTGATGCATAGTAAACATTAAATAACTCATATATGGATGGCAGATTGTAAGGGTAGGAAACAAAATGCTTTTCAACCTTCCGTGTTAAAACACGGCTACTGGATTTGATGTTGGCACTTCTGGTCTAAGTGTGTGGAGCAGATGCCATTTCTCAATACAGTGACCTCATTTTAAAGCATGTGTTTACTATACTAAATCCTTCCTGGGCCATGGGTTTAAGGCTAATCTATCCACATTTCTTGCGGAAGGGACCTGTATTTCCAGGGAATTTAAAGAGAAATCTTTAAATGATTTTAAATGGAATTTCAAGCCAAGGGACATTTCCGCTCTTTAATCCTGGTTTCCCCCTCCCTGCACCCCACCCCCACCCCCACTAAAACCCTAGGGAAGGAAAGGGCCCAGAAAAACCCCCCTTTGGTTAGCATAGAGATGAGAAGGTCCAAGTCCCCCCCCCCCCCCCCCCCCCCACACACACACACAAGTTTCTCACTTTTCTTTCTAATCCCTAAAGCTTGATTAAAAACCATTTCATTATTTTGGTCTGCACAGACATTATGGGAGTCTGGTGTACCCTTGAGAAGGGAAGTAATTCGCTCC